TTCATTTGTATTAAGCATCGAACTCATATTGCGCACATCCGTTCGTTTCATTCTTTTTCTGTTTGTCTGCTCTAATTTTATAGGTAGCCCGTTTGTCATTCTTACAATGTTTGGTAATTCAAAGTCTATTTGCATCATTGTCCTGGTGAATAACACTCATTTGCATTGTCATTACTTTTTGAGAACAATAAAGCTTTGCTAATTATAAGTCTATCTTCCTGTGAAGTTATAGACGCCCAAGAAGACCATACTGGTTCAGATAGTGAAAAAGTGTGAAAGAATACACAAGTTAGAAGCTGAAGAAAGAAGAATAAACCAAAGTGTCCAGCACAGCTAAATACAGTTGCAAGGAGTGGGCGTAAAAGCCATCGTAAGCCTTCGGAACTTCTTCCCTTTATGTTTATCAAAATCACAGATTTTCGTTGATTCCAGTTGCGATGTTTAAGTAGGGCGCGCTTTTCATCTTAAGACGTGGCCCTGCTATTTTCGGTGTTATTGTTAGCAAAGAGTGAAGAGCAGTAGCAGTTTCGAAAACACATTGTTACTATTTGGTAGACATCGGATGCACGGATTTGTGTGAAGTTTCGAGAAAAAGTAGGTAAGATGCCAAGTGTAGTCTTCGCACAAGTACGATATTAGGATGTCTCTCAATTTTTTACCTTTTTTACCGTTTTTACTTTCTGCAGCAAAGACTCATACTCCTTTTATTTTCTGAATATTTGCGGTACGATGCGAAAGAGCAGAGCAAGCTTTACAACGACCAAATGTAAGTTCAAAGTTTGTTTTACATACACTTCGAAGCGAAATCCAAGAAGATCTGAATGCCCAAAAAGTCGAGAAAAATTATGTTGCCGGTCAAAAATCTCTTGCGGACTTCCTGTTTGCTCAAGCATGTACTCCTCTCTACATTTGATGTTGATGTTTACCCGTATTCATGGCTAAATTCGAGAAACATACTTATACCAAATAGGCCAAAATACGGAAAGTCGTCTTTTTCGGGCTTTTTTTGCGTTAAATTTGTTTCTTTTCAGAAACTATTGCCTGTCTAAGCCCAGAAATTCATAGTTTTACTTCTAATGGTTCATACTGTAAATTCACTTGTTTGGGAGCAGCGCAGCGCAGCTTTGGCAAAAACATGAATATCGTTTTTTCTCCATTTCTAGCCATTCGTTTTTGAATTTAGCAAAACTACAGATAAATA